TTCCATCATATTATTCCCATTATATTATATTATATAATTCACAATATATGTATATAGTTGTATAGTTTTATACAGTCATATATATAACTAACGTAACCCAGCCTAATGTAATCTAACCCAACCTATACATTCATAGTTTACAGTGCAATTATAAGAATTTTTGAAAAATTATGTAGGATCATTAAGGTGCCCTCATCAGTCACCACTGCGTGTACCGACTAGGTACGGCATTGGCAGCAAGCTGTGACGTCAGCTGACGCATGCGTATAAAGCTCTCGCGTGCGATAAAATCTCACGACTGCCCAACACTGTCACTGGGTTTGATGTACAATATTTTGTAATGAAGAGTAATGCACGCGTGCCTTTACGTTTGTAATGTCAAGAACATATACCGAGTGGCCTTTTATTTAAAAGTTTAGTCCTTTATATTTGTAAATCATATTCTCGCTATTTATACATTATTAGCCACTGTATATGGAATGATAAATTGATGAAGTCTCCCCACTAAGGAGCTTTTTGAGCTCCCAACCTGCGCGAAAAAGATTCGATCATCTATTTCCTCGTGGTTTTGTTATGACCCGCGAATTTTGATAAAATATGCCAGCTAAACTGAAAAATAAAATTCTAACATATGAAGGTTGCAACTACTTGCGATATCGGTTGCTACTGTCCACATTATCAGGTAGACCAGTGCAAATAACAGATATTAGAATCAAAGATGATAATCCTGGACTTAGAGGTTAGTTTAAAAAACTTCTAAAATACTTAGATATTTAAAATTGACTAATAAATGCAACATGATTTATTGTATTTCCTTTCCAGAGTATGAAGTTAGTTTTATACGTTTACTGGATAAAGTTACAAATGGATCAAGGATAGAATTGAATGAAACAGGAACTAATTTGTACTATAATCCTGGTTTGTTACATGGAGGAGATATAGAACATGATTGTAGCCTACAACGAGGTATTGGTTATTACTTAGAAGGAATCATGATATTGGCTCCTTTTTGTAAAAAGCCCATAGAAGCAAAACTGAGAGGAATCACTAATAACACAATAGGTACATACAAATAATAATACTATGAGCAAGTAAAATTTAAAGATGAGAAATTACTAAAGTTTATTTGTAATTTTTAAGATCCCTGTGTTGATCGGATCAAAGCAACTGCTGTACCTGTGTTAAAAAGATTTTTATTGGGTGACACTGAAGTTGTGTTTAATATTAACAAAAGAGGAGCAGCACCACTAGGAGGTGGAGAAGTTTATTTTAAATGCCCTGCTAGTCGTAATCTTAGAAGTATTCAAGTTAGTTTTAATTAGAATATATCTTTTCTTAATGATGATGTTAAAAATTTTATCCAGAGTTATTTGTTTATAGTTTCAAAATAGTGGTATGGTAAAACGAATAAGAGGTGTTGCATGTAGCATACGAGTTTCCCCTGCTATTGCCAACCGAATTATAGAATCTGCTAAAGGTGTATTATTGAAGTTTATACCAGATGTCTACATTTATGCAGATCACTGTAGAGGTGCAGCTAGTGGGAAATCTCCAGGTATATATTTAATGTTATTAAATTCTATTTCTTAATGTATACTAGATATTTTATATAATTATAGGGTTTGGAATAAGCTTAACAGCTGAAACAACAAATGAAGTTGTCTTTGGTGCGGAAGCATGTTCACCTCATATGACAACAGGTTCTTTACCTTGTGTACCAGAAGATATTGGTAAAGAAGCAGCTATGAAACTAATTGATGAAATTTATAGGTAAACAGAATTAATAAGGAACATAAATAGTGTGATGGAAACATAATACACAATTGTATAATTCTAGGAATGGATGTGTGGATTCACCTTTCCAAGTTATGACTGCAATGTTCATGGCATTAGGGAAAAAGGATGTTTCTAAAGTCGTAACAGGTCCTTTAACACCAGCAATGTGAGTATTTAGACTTATATAAAGATAAATGTTAAATCTAAAAAAAACATTATTTCTACAGGATACAGTTTTTACGTGATCTACGAGATTTCTTTGGAATTGTCTTTAAAATTGATCCACTTAAAGAAGAAGACGAGATATTAGATCAAGTTGTTTTAACCTGTCTAGGTGTGGGCTATACAAACATAAGCAGACGGATATTATAAATATAATGTAAATATTTATATTTGTACTATATATAATAATAATTTTATAACACAAAAGTTTGTAAGTGAATTGGTTTGGAAGGCCATGCCTGGAAAAAACTCGACTTTAATGTGTTCCATAGATTTTGATAAGTTTTGGACAATTTTTTACAATCTAAATAAGTAATTTTTTTCGGATGCCTGATATCGCAGTCATTATTCTGATATTTGTCACAAATTCGTAAAAACATTTCATATAAAGCTTTTCTTGTTACAAGTAAATTATTACCTTTCTTTTTCTTCGTCGCACCTTGTTTCCTACCTTCAATTGCTATTTCTGTATCACTGTAAATTGAATTATACAAATATGATTTAAAACTATAAGTGCTCATATAATATGGAAACATAAGTATTAAAAATTTACCGATTTTTCACAGCGCACCATATTATACTTGAGGGACATGGATGTGTTCTCTTATGACTTTTCTGATGTTCAAAAGAAATATTACTTTGTACAACTTTTATTTTGTATGCATCGTTGTTGAATCGTTTATATAATCCACGTTCCATTGCCTCTAAAGAAAAGGGACAGTTACCTCCGACTATGACAGTATCTAATTTTATCGATGGTATTAATATTGATAAAAGTGAACCTTGTAAACCAAGAATATTCCACCTGAAATCCACGTACAAAATATAGTTATAACAAATTGTGAGAGCATTGTATGTATCAAAAGCAAATTGTAACATTTTCACTTTGCTAGTTTGTCCGAACAAGACAAGCTAAGAGTAGGATTTCCTCTTCCAGGTTTAGTGCGTAATGGTCCGACTACGTGATAGTTTATTCCAGGTAAATAAGGATCACGGTATTTTTCAGATGCAACACATTTCGCTCCGGTTCTATATATATCCTCGATTAATTGTTCCTTCTTGTTTGTATCATTCGTTTGTTCTTCGTTGTTGTAATTGCATTTCCTAATTTTTATTGGAGGTGCCTCATTTTCGTTTAATTCTTTTAAAAATATGGAACAATCTCCGCAAGGTGTTTGACTCGTAAAGAAGTGAAACGATATTCCATTTTGCAGTTTAATTTTATTCTGATCATTCATTTCAAAAACATCACTTTTAATACCATCAAGTATTAAATCAATTTGGCTATACAAATATCTTAGAAAGGCACGTCTAGCAAGAACTTCAGCGTGTGAATCGCTCAATCTACAACCTTCTTTGTATATCTCTGTATTTAATAAATCTATTTCTCCTAAACATTTTGTACCCGTAGCAAGAGCTACCAAAAATAGTGAATTATCGGGTTTCTTTAATACAATGCCTGATAATACAGTCCATTCTTTTTCTGATGGTTTACCTGTTTTAAGTTTTGCATATTTTTCTATACAAAGTTGTGCAACTTGATCTGCAAAACCTTTCATGCTTTTATAAGATAATATAAAATTGTGTTATTAAATTAGATCAAATAATTTCTTTCTTCACTTGTTTAATACACATTGGAAGGATCCCATGTATATTTACACTGAGGCAAAGAAGATAAAGCATTCATACTTTCTTCATCAATCATAAAATCTAACTGTATATTGTTTCTTATGTGTTCTTTCTTTACAGCTTTGGGAATAACACCTGAAACAATATTCTTAAATGTTATATGACTATAATATACATTGGCAAAATAAATCATTTACCAATTCCTTGCTGAAGAGCCCATTTTAGCAATAGTTGTGCTGGAGATACATGTAGTTGAGAAGCTATTTTTGTTACAGTTGGATCTTTTAAAAGACTAGTATTCTTACTAGTTCCTAAAGAAGAATATGCTTGCACATGTATGCCTTTCTCATTACAGTATTTAATTAGTTCTTCTTGACGATAATGAGGATGGCATTCAACCTATTGTGAACATACCTAAATTTTATAACAATATACAAATAAAAATATATAATATTCACAGAGTTATCTTACTTGGTTAACAGCTGGTAGTTCACCTTTCTGATCTTGTAACAATTCTTCCAAATGTCTTATTGTATAATTAGATACACCTATAGATCTCATCAATCCTTGTTTCTTCAAATCTACTAATGTACTCCAGGTCTTTGCTCTTAAAGCAAAGTTGTCTTTAGAAGTTTCTGGTATACGAGCAGCTGCTGGCCAATGAATTAAATACAAATCAATATATGTAGTGTTAAGTGCTTTAAGTGATCTTTGCACAGATTCTGCTATGCCTTTTGGATTGCCAAATTCAGATGGTGAAAGTTTAGTTGTTAAGAAAATATCACTTCTCTGAAGATTATATTTTGGTAATAACTTTGTTAAAGCATAACCAATATCTTCTTCATTTCTATAAACCACAGCTGTATCTATACATAACAAACAAATTGTGAAAAATATAAAATTTTGAAATACATTTGCAATTTTACTTACAAATATCTAGTGTACATACATACCAATAGAACGAAAACCTACTTTTAAACTTTCATCAACAACTTCATATATTACATCTCTTCCCTGAATTTTATATGTTCCAACTGAAAAAGAAATATACAAATAAATGTTAAAAACGAGGAATAAATATTGTATGTTATGTTTTTATTAATCTTACATCCAATAAGAGGCATAACATAACAGCTTGAAAGTTGAACTTTCTGCATTGTACCAGCCATATCTAAAAATTTCTGATACACTTACGCGAACGTATTATTTTTCATAAAATACCGACTGCCTTTGTACCCATACGCGATTAATGGAAGTTTTACTGACATATGTAGATAAAGTAGCGATTGAATATAACGATGGTACAGTATTATCTAGAAGCTCTGTACTGCACTTGACTTGCTACTAAATTTAAGTTGGTCAGTGACGTATTCGACTATTACAAGTTGCTCTATTTCATCTGCAGTTTGTATAGTGCAACGATTATTATTCGCATTTGTAAATAAGTGCATCGTACGCTGTTATTAACAAATTTTGTATTGATAAAATACAGTATTTGTGTGTAACAGATAACTGAGGCTTATCCGAATGAAAAACACACGTTGATTGCAACCGGCTTCGATTTAATTCTCTATTATACTGTTAAACATTTGTAAAATCTTTTAATATTACAATAATTTAATTGTTGAAAAACGACATCAGTATATTATTTAATTAAATTGCCTTTTTCGTTATATATTATCAATTATTCTATATATTAATAGAGATTGTTAATGTTTCACAGTGTTGCGATATACGGCCTCAAGATTCAGTCTCAGTATCTAACGTTTTTTATTTTTGTAGTAATTAGTTTATTATTTTCCGTATTTGCATATGAAATGGCCTGGTCTGGAAGATTTCATGGGAAAAGTAACCATGATCTTATACAAAATCTTAAAAGTAAGTAGTGTTAATACATGTATTATAATTTTTATTAATATTTAAAAATATTCAATTTTGATTGTAGGATCAAGAGTAATTAAATCTGAACGAGTTTATGAAGCAATGTCTTCTGTAGACAGAGGAAATTATACTCATCCCAGCTATGCATATGTAGATTCTCCGCAATCAATTGGTTATGGTGCTACTATAAGTGCTCCTCATATGGTACACGTCTTTTTAAAAAAATTGTGATATACCATTAATATCACTTATTTAAGAAATATATAAAATATCCAAATATTTTAGCATGCATATGCTTTGGAAATACTTGAAGATAAATTACGTGATGGTGCAAGAGCATTAGATGTTGGTTCTGGATCTGGATATTTGACAGCATGCATGGCAATGATGTTAGGTCCAAATGGGTTGGCTATTGGTATTGATCATATTCCTGAACTTAAATCATTTGCTATTTCCAACATTCAAAGGGATAATCCAGAGCTTCTTAAAAGTGGTCGTGTTGAATTAGTTGGTAATTATCTCCTAAATATTTCACAAGTAAACCTTTACTACTTTGGCATTAAAAAATAATTTAATAATCTAGTTGGAGATGGAAGATTAGGATATCCTGAGAAGGCACCATACAATGCTATTCATGTAGGAGCAGCTGCTAAAGAAATGCCACAAGCTGTAAGGAATATTTTTCTTATCAATTAATGTATTATTTGATATACAATTTATTATGGCATTATTTCTGTAGTTGATTGATCAACTAGCTCCTGGAGGACGTTTAGTATTACCAATGGGTCCAGAAAATTCAGATCAAACATTAGTACAAGTTGATAAGACAATGGATGGAAAAATTCTGAAAAAATCTCTTACAAGTGTTGTTTTTGTCCCATTAACTAGTAAAAATAAGCAACATCCATCATGAGATACATGTATGCTCCAATAAGTGAGCATTTTTTCCTTTTGCGAATTTGATTAAGAGGACATACTAAATAAAGCACATAACTTGAACTGCATATTTGCAATCAATTGTTTTAAATATTAAAAAAGTCAGTCATGAGTCTAGAGTTATTTGAATACATTTTTGGTATTTTTCAATTATAATTTTAATAAAATGATACAATAGTTATTTTTCCCTAATGAAACGTATTATCTAAATTGAAAAATGCAACAAATCATGAGGATAAGAATAATATTCTTTTTATTTATTGATAATGCATATAATAAAGTACAAACTATTCTTGTATATCTTTATACTGTCTTTAATTTATTTTGTATATAGTATAATTTACTTGTCATAATTTATTGTACTCTGAATACTTTGAGATAAATACATTATTAAAATGTATAATGACTAGAGTTACATTTATTTATACAATCAATTAATTCCCTATATGTTATTATATATTTCAGATGTACATGTTACATACATATAATTTGACATACAACTGTTTCCATTTCATATGTAAAACAATTTAAATATTTATGGAATGGTCAAGTTTAATTACTCCAAGAAATAAGTAAAAAATAATTTACTATAACGTGTCAAACATTAAATTTATCAATTTATTACAGAGTATAAAACAACTGTACTATTTTAATAAGGTTGGACTATGCGTCCTGTGGTCCTAGTTTATGTCAAGTACGTAATAGGCAGTGAGTTGAACGCCTACATTTTTTTCGTGGTTGTTTCTTTTATTGATAATGATTAAAGTGCTTTTACCATAAACAAACTAAGAGCAGCGCCTGATGCCAATCCCATACCAAGGAAAGCACCCATCATAGCAGACGCAATTTCTTTTTCCTGAGAATCTACAACCCTATTTTAAAATTTTCATTACAAACAGAATCAAATTTTAGCGTATTAATATTTATAATACATTATAATACTTACGTAGGAATTAAAATAAATGTTAAATTACACAGATAACCATTGCTAATGGCGAATACAATAGTTAATAAAATATAATAAAAGTCATTATTGATATAAACAGGAAGATGATGTCTAGGTTGTGCATTACAAAACATAAGAGCTGGTATAAAGATTACTCTCGCAAGACTTAAAAGTATGACGTGCCACGGCTTATTTTTTGGCTAAAAATCCAGAAATGTTAAATTTATTAAATATTGTTTTAACTAATATTATATTAAATGACTTTAAAAATGGTCTTTATACGCACCCACTGTAAAATGCCTGATAATATTCTTCCAACATAATCACCCGAACTGAAAATGAGGTATGTCACCACAGGTACAAAATAGATATCTGTAAAATGTATATGAATTTCAATAATATTACTATTATACATATCAAATTTAATATCGATATTTACCATTCCATGCATAACCTTTGCCTTTGTACTGACTTTCCACCAGCACGGTAACTGATGGACACACAGAAATTGATATAAAAAATACTAAGAATACACTAACACCATAATGCCAAATCCTTTTGACAATACGAGTATAAGATATTGTGGTGCCTTGAGGAAAGGTTACTTCTCCAGTTACCGAATAATCTGTTTCTACGTTTCCCGGAAATCTTTCCACCATATGATGTTTAAAAAATGCCTAAATAGTAAGTATATATACAATTTGTGTTATAAAGTTTAAATTTTCTGTTCAGCGTATGAGGAAGATGATTAATATATGTCTGTATCATTATCATAAGCTACTTATATGTTAAAAACATCTGTGCCATACATATCATTGTTATATATTCATTAAAATATTAGATTACTCACTGCTTTTTCCAGCATTACGTATGCGATTAAAGATAAAAACAGGATAACATCTCCAATAATGAAATATACTAGGCCTGAAAGTACTGGACTAGCACCAATCCAAAGAGAGCATACTTCTGTTAAAGCAGTGAAAATTCCTCCAAGTGCTTGACCACTTGACATAGCAGTTATATATTTTGGAGAAAAACGTCCAACAACACCCATTAAGCTACCTCCAAATATTGCACTTGCAGCTGAAAAAATAGATTAACATTATTCCACCAATTTGCTTGGTGCAGTATTTAATGGTAATTTAAATATCATATATATATATACCATTTACACATGCCACTGTTGTCAAAGTAATAACCAGAAATGTATTTTGCCCTAGAAATAAAATGGAAATTTTACTTTGAAAGAAAAGTATAATAACATTTAATACTTTCATTTTTGTAACTTACATTTATCTGTATTAATTTTGACAAATGTTGTTGTCACAATGAAAAAAAGAAGTATGATGCATTGTGAGCCCACCATTCTTATCCTCAGACGAATTCTATTATTTTACATATTTGTTGTATTATTAGAAAGTTAACATAGTTATTTTATTATTATACAGTTATAATATTTAACACACTTACCTTTTACTAATAAATGCATTTACAATTAAAAATAATGTATTAGGTATTGCACTTGCTACACTTAAGTATGAAGTAAAACTTGCTTGAAGATCAGTTTTCTTTTCCAAATTTTCTACATGAGTAAAATTGTCACTTTCCGTAAAATTATTATGTATTTCTCTAAATTTATACATCCAATACTACAAAATGAATTAAACAAATATAAACATATATTACCAATAATATTAAATAATATGGTATATGAATTACTTACATCATCTGCAGTAATAAAAAAACTCCAAGGAATTAATGTGTTCATTCCAAGTAAATAAAAAACAATGTATGCAATATTATACCTAAATTTAAAGAAGATACACAAAATAATTTAAATGTTATTTAAAAGTGTTGGGTTAAGGGACATAAAACATATATGATAAATAAAAAATACCTGTCACTGGGCTCATGTTGTTTTAAAAATGGTTTTTCATCCGGAACAGAAATATTTGGATCATCAATTTCAGTTTCTAAGTCATCTTCAAATTCACTGTCCGATCCTCCTAACAAAGGTCTTTTATTGATAGGATACATGGCAAAACTAAGAACAAAGAATAAAATTTACAGAAGTTGTAATATGCATTAAATAAGATATAATATGTACATACAAAGTATACATGCAATAATATTAAATAATTTTGTACTTACAAGATTACATAGAAAATTGTCTACATAGAAATTGTCACTTGATAATGTATTCGCGCTTAGAACATAATAATCATTTACATTGTTGCAACATTAGAACTTATATCACTTCGTTTAAATGTTATCACATTTAACACATGTTGTAGTAAAAATCATGTTTAGCAATCCACACCTGGGAGGCAAATGATAATACTGAACAATACTTGTAACATATTATTGTTCTAGAGTCTTAAAAAGACTCGACGTCGTATATAAGGCATTTCCTTGGCCACCTGTGACTAAGCACAGATACAAATACTAAATACCATAGATTAGTATTATGATAATCCTACTGCACTTTTTCGTTTACTATAGTCATTTACATTCTAAATACACAAACAGCTGGTGTACATCATACAGTTCACAAAAGCAACGCGCCAATAGATGGTGACGTATTGTGAAAAGTATGTAACACATCGTGTAAAATTGTATATAATTGTGTGTACAAGGAAATATTCTAAACTTAACTGTATACCGAAAAAACTTCAGTTTTACATTATATAGATAAAATCCATCTACTAACTGACCGTATATAAGGGTATGTTTAAACGAAGCGAACTAATTTGCTTCAGCTTTTCTTACTACAAAAAGCATCGAGCATAAACGAGCATTCTTTCGTGCGTTCGACGATTATTCTTCGCTTTATAAAATCAGCTCGATTACTAACTAATCAACAATTCATAATCTATTTATTTTCGCGAATATTCGCTCATATTTAATTATTTACTACACTGAATTTTAATACTACTTTAAATAGGAATTCAGTAATTTTTTATGACCGAACACAAACGAATGTTCTTGCTCTTGTTCGTCCTGTTTGAACGCGCCCGAATGCTTTATTTTTATCAATATATATATATAGCACTATACATGTGCACTTAGTCGTATATCTGTATACTATATCGCATCTTACCATTGATTAGACAAAAAGAAGAGGTTCAAATTCAATGTTATACCAGTTTGCATATTGACGCAGTGTGAGGACAATTATTTTGCAACGAATCGAGTATATACATAGACTTTATGTAGATTATATATCTTAAAGATTATATTCTACGACTAACAAGATACAGATTTGTTATTTGTATATTAATGTAGTACATTAAGCAATTCCGATGAGTGGTAAATGCGGTATTTATCGCATTTCAGCTCGTAAACTTTTACGTGATATGAACGTGTGATGATATTACGGTAAATTACAAAATGTATTGTGCATTGGGAAGATGGTAAATCAATGTTTTTAATTAAGTTTTGACACTATTAACAGATCATACAGTTCTTTAATAGCAGTTTTTTGATAGTTTTTGCAGAAGAGATGCGGTAAGAGCTTTGAGCACGGGTGAGGTATCTACCGCACTTCGACCTTTTTACTTTACAGTTCACCCTGACCTTTTCGGACAATATCCTACACAAAGAGTAAGTTTTATTAACTTCAATGACTTTGAGTAACCTGTAAAAACTACATCTCTAAAGTGAAAGCGTTTTAAATCAATTAGGCGTCGGCAACGCAGTTTATTGTCTTATTATGTTTAAATGTATTTATAGAACAAAGGACATGCAATAATTGCTATCTATATGTGTATGTACATAAGACTTAGGTATAAATAAATTTATCACAACAGAAGATTCATATCTATTTACTAATTAAGTAAATGATTTATTGAGTGTAAATAAAATATTACATATTTATTATTTTGTTTGTTTCAGACTGTAAATGAAAATTCTTTAAAACAATTAAGTTCTATCATAGAAAATTTGCAACAACATAGACCTATCAGACCTACTACTTTGCCATTTTATTTACGATCAAAGGATGAAAAAGAAGTCAAAGCTGGTAAATTTACTTTAGTACAAATACAGTTAAAAGAGAAGGATCTAAGGAAAACTATACTTTCGATTCTAAAGACGTGTGATTTGCCAACCACATTTGTGGATCAAATTCAGGAACAAAAGCCACCAGATGGTACAAATTATAAATCAAGATTTTGGCAAAGAAAAGGATATGCTGGAGAAAACATAGATTTTTCAGAATTAGAAGATGATCCCATTTATGCATCTATTATAATGAAAAGAAAAATTAATTTAGAACCAGATACTCTTAAGTAAGATTATCAATGTTTTTACTTGAACAATTAAAATTTAGTTGAATATGTTTAATTAAAAAGGTGATTACCATTGATTAGAGCATACTTAGAGAAACATATTAATGAAGTACACGTGAAATTGGAAGCATGTAGACCGATGCGGGAAGAAGTACAAAAATTAGAAAAAATATTATGCACTGAATTAGGTTTAAAACATATTGTATGGGATTGTGGATGGAACATAGCTCACTATAGAGGATGTTTATTAGCTTTCAAGGCATTAGCTGAACATCATCCTGAACCAATGCAAGTACTACAAAACAGAACACTTGTTTTTGCCAATGATACAGGCATTAGTCTAGAAGGAAACGTTATGTTGAATTCAGGTGAAGTGAGACACAATTGGCTCGATGTAAGAATGAATTATTAAATTTGTATAATATTTATTACTTATACTTAATTATAGTGATACAATTAAAGAAAAACTGTTATTTCTAACAGTGAATGCATTCTTTTTTTATAGTTAATTAAAAATATCCAGAAGTATGATGTGGTACTGTTAAGATTACCAGCTTTTGAGAAGGCAGTTTCACAAGTACTTCTCGACATTAAAGTTGGTCGACGGTGCGTAATACAACAAATTAATTGAATGACGGTAAGGCTCAGGGTGCTCTATATGTGCAGGAAATTCATGCCAAAAGTAATGGTTAGTCAGTATGAACGGCAACTCCGACAACTTACTACAACCCTCTCGGATTACCGAGGTCGACGAAATTATCCAAAAGTCTGGCCAACAAATTTATCTACTTATGAGATTGTAATCGAAGCGTTAGTATTATATGTAGTACTTAATGTTTCTTGTATGTTTACTTTCATTTAATTTGTAAGTATTTGATAAACATGGCTAGTTTAACTTGTTTGTAAGTATAATATGGTATTACATTGAAATAGAACTTATATACTAAAATAAACTTTATTTTCAGTGAAGCAGGCCCTTTAATGCTCTCTCCTACTGGACAGTTTATAGTTCCATCTTCATGTCCAAGTTTTCTTTTAGTAAATTTTATTACTGAAAATTTAGATGAAGCCACAAAGAGATTACATCACTATAATAAGTAAGATTCTTTTATTGATATATTGTATAGCGTTTTATTCTATATCTTATTTTGTTGCAGCATCAAATACGTCGAACGTGAACTTCATGATAAGGCTGTTAAACAATTGGGTTTAACTGCTCTTAATAAAGATGACAGTATCACTCCAGATTTGATGATACAATGTTGCGAGCGTTTATTGTTGCACAAAAACGTTTTAGCTCCGTTATTAGAAGGTGTCATGCTTTGGGTGACACATTATTACTCTGTCATGAGTGATGGTGTTTTATGTATACCATGGGATTGGAAACTTTAAATTTCGATATATAATAATAATTAATACAAATATAATTTGTTGCTATTTTCGATGATTATGCCAATTAACAACAAAACTATTTCCAAAAATTGTATGAATTATAATCAACTGATGATCTACAGATACATGTGATACAGAAATAGTACATATTTTTATGAAAACTTTACATATAGTTAAAAGAAAAAAGTAACTTAGTAAAAATGTAAATCATTTTACTATATTTTTCTCAGTACAATTAGTAACAAAAGTAATTTATTATACCTTGTAAAATATATCTGAACATTGCAATTGTTTTTATGTAACTAATCTTAGTGTTCTGTATAGCAATTACAAAATTAAGAAATAGCCAAAAAAAAGAAATATTTTGTACAATCATGTAATTAAATAATAAATATGATGGAATCCATTGATCTCTGTTTGTATTTATAGTTAATATCTCACGATTAAATTTTGATGTGTTCTGTTGCGTTGGGGGCGCCAAAAGGAAAAAAATAAAAAAGGTTGCGACCTCTATTTTTCCTGGGAGCAAACTATGATTAAGTTTCCACCGAGGGTTCAAATCGGGTTTGAATCGCGGGTTGGAGTTGCGGCAGGGTTGAACATTACCAACTGCACAAAGTCAACTACCATATTTTGACATTTAAAGGAGAGCAATATTAATTTTACAATATCAAAATAACATACAAAAATTATTTCTCAGATTACAAGATCACCGACAAAAAGTAATAATAACCTTGTCCACACCAATTAATACACGTGATACACAATGCAATTTGGATTTGTTATGTTGGCAACATGAACTTGACTTTTGTCGTTTCCACTGAACCTCAATTGAACGCTACCCTACAATTTTATAGGGTAGAGTTCAACTTCAACTTTGGTGTTTCCACCATAAGAGCGCTCACCTCAATCCGACTCTAACCCGATTTGAACCCTCGGTGAAAACTTAGTCTATGACATAAAATAAATTTTACGTATCAACAGCAAACAGTGCACAGTAGTACACAGTAATTTTGTGGAGGGGAGATTTAAATTAAACATGGCGCGTCAGAGTGTTAATACAGATTGTGAAAAAATGCATAATTTGTTAGATAATAAAAACATTGACTTGGATAATTGCAGAAAACTAATTAAATCGTATATTGATCTGGTAAAGTTTGAAGATGTATTAAGTTTTATTGATGATATTCAATTATTTGCAACTACCAAGGAAACCTAACTTCTATCTATTTGCAGCATTTGTACAGTGCAGCTTTGTTTTGGGCAGATAAAGTTGTTTCGTTAAGCAACGAAGATCCTAAAGACATATGTACTTTGGCACATTGTATGTATCTAATGAAACAGTATCATCGAGCTGCTCATCTTATTAGGAGCAGGGGGTTAGAAAAGGTAAGATTTAGTTTTGTTATATTTGTTAAGCTATAAAACTTTGATATATCTACCTGTTTTATGAACTAAATTAACATTACTTTGCAGTCGGATGTAATGTGCCATTATTTAACTGTAAGAAGTCTTTTAGAAGCAAAAGAATATAATGAAGCCTTACATGTCATTAAGGAATCAGAGATTTGTACAAATATGACACAATCAAGTTTTACAGATCGTACAGATATATTTGAAGATGCTCCCAAAAATGTGATTAAGTATAAATAATGATCTTTTAAAAAAACCTATGTTAATACTCCAATTACATTTTTAATATATTTGTATTCTGTTATAGGTACAGAGTTCAATACTGTATGTAAAAGGAAGAGTATATGAAGCTATGGATAATCGTGCAGTAGCAACTGACTGTTATAAACAAGCCCTACACTGTGATGTATATTCTTATCAGGCATTTGAAGCATTAGTTCAGAATCAGATGCTTTCAGCTTCTGAAGGTATGAGAAATTGCATATATGGCATAAAACTAGAAATTAGTAATCTAAGATACATGTAATTTTATTAGAAAAAGAACTATTGGAATCTCTCCCATTTAGTGAGCAATGTACAGAAGCGGAAGCAGAGCTTTTACGATTATTGTATGAAAGTAAATTAAAGAAATATCAGGAACCCAGTAAAAAACAAACACTAGTAACTTGTAGTGTAATGGGAGTTCTTGTCACGGATAGGCTATTAGACAATTTGGACATGGAAGTTGCAAAAGCTGAAAGATTATATTACAATTGTGATTATCATAAATGCTTCTCGCTTACAGAACGGTAATTTTTTAAAACATATTTTTATACTTCATAAATGGATATATAAATGTATATGTCATTTTTGCATGTTTTAGAATATTAAAAAAAGATCCCTATCATAATTCGTGTTTACCAATACACATTGCCTGTTTAGTGGAATTAAAAAAAACGAATGGTAAGTATATTACATTTTTACAACAAAACAAATGTATATAATATAATAACTTTTCAGCTTTATTTTATTTGGCACATAAGTTAGTTGATTTATATCCAGACATGGCATTAGCATGGTTTGCAGTTGGATGTTACTATTATAGTATAGGTAATTATAATGAAATAACATAAATTTTTCCAAAATATCGTTTTATACAGTTAATTTAATTTATTTAAAGGCAAAAGTGACCCGGCTCGAAGATACTTAGCAAAAGCTACAGCATTAGATAGATTATTTGGTCCTGCTTGGTTAGCTTATGGACATTCATTTGCAGTAGAAAATGAACATGATCAAGCAATGGCTGCTTATTTTAAAGCATCTCAGTTAATGAAAGGTTGTCATCTGCCACTTTTATACATTGGACTTGAATGTGGCTTGACGAATAATCTTAAATTGGCTGATAAGTTTTTCCAACAGGCTCAAGGAATAGCTTCAAATGATCCATTTGTCATACATGAAATGGGAGTTATATCTTTTTACAATTTAGAGTAAGTGACTTTATATTTAGTTAGACATTATCCCTAAAAAGTTACTGTAATGTACAAAAGAGAAGTTCAAAATTCACTCTGCAACCTGATTAGTGTACTTCCACCCTTCAACGGTTTTTGGAAATCTGTCTAATTTATCAAGAGTTGTCATTTCATCGAATACAGTTACAAAACTGCTGAACGGCAATTTAAGGAAGCCATGAAAAGAATTCAAGGTGGTCTGAAGGATGTTATTCTACCTAGTAAATGGGAAGCACTTCTAAATAATTTGGGTCACACATGTAGAAAAATGAAGAAATATGAAGAAGCATTGGAATATCACCAACAGGTTGAATATAAAAATAAAATAGACTTCGGTTAAGTATATTTTTATACTGAATTTATCTGTTTTGTTGTGATTACAGGCATTGGTGTTAAATCCATTAAATCCATCAACTTATTCAGCGGTAGGTTTCATTCATGCATTGATGGGAAATACACAAGAAGCAGTTGATGCATTTCACAGAGCACTTGGTCTTAGAAGAGATGACACATTTACAACAACAATGTTAACTTACGTTATGGAGCAACTGATAGAAGAATCACCTCCATATCCTGGTATATAAAATAATATTTGTTTTTATTATATTTTTTAAAATAATCCTATTATGTCTAATTGCAAATAACTGATGTTAGATGCACCTATCGACATTCCGAAGTATAAATTTCCTGAAGCTAGACATCAAGAAACGGACAATACAGGAACACTGGACACTGCAAATACTATAACCGGGTCGGCCAATCAAGACATCGATAAATTAAGAGTAAATTTATTTTCTGGATGGGGAGAAGATTCGAATAAAACCGAAGACAATACTTCTGATAAAGTAGAACACAATTCGCGAGAGGTGGTTGTTAACTATTCCAGTGATATAAGTTCCGAAGTTGAAATGTTGGATTCATCTACTGCGCATATAGAATAAAAAATATATAAAATAAACAATTTTTAATATAATGAATAGATTTTTGACCATGTAATAAAGCAAGAATTTTGCTTCAAAAATAATTTCTTTTTGTTCTTAACAGTCTACCTTCAACGTGAATTGTATCAGTTTCATGTGTAACATTTTGCTTTAAAGAAATATGTGAACTATTTGTTAAAATTCCTTATTTTTACATGTTCAATATGTACGTAAATATATATGTATTCTATACATATACTAAAATACATGATCTTTACAGGCAGTTTACACTATTTTTTAAACAAAAAGGTAATAAATTGTGCATTTTATTAAAAACATTTAATTTTTTTTAAATTAGAAAGAAGAAAATTACAATATGATACAAAGTATATAAGGTTTGTAAATTATTAAATATTGTAGATATTATTGATTTTATTAATGACATTACTAATGAACATAAAATAAAACAAGTATTTTCGAACATGAAATATTATAATTTTATATTTATTCACACATATGTATAAAATTCCACAAGGGCGCGTTCGTGAACCGCGCCGGCGTTTACCGAAGATGGAACTTGCTGGTGAAAAAGCGAGAGGGTGAGACAGATCTTGAATTCAGTTCGCAGAGTGAAGCAACGTGGAGAAGAATGGGCGTTCCGTCTCCATCGTTGCTGTATCGATATTAAATCAAACACGAGAGCAAATAAATTTTACTTTCGAAGAACCAACGAACTGATTATAAATGGGCGATTCTGGGAGTTAAATTAATTAAAATATTATCCCCCGGCAAATGATTAAAATCCCGGTGGGATCAAATATTCCGAACTTTTTAATAATAATTGTTGATTCGCTAATTTATTAAATTCGTGTATTTAATTCATCGAGTTCGTTAAATCGAAAAATTCTGCTGAACGTTTCTATACCGTATCAATTTTCTAATTAAATTGCGAAAAAAAAGTTACTACGTTGTATTTAGTGGAGAACACCGATTTGGACAATTGAAAAACTCGGTGAAATTCAGTTGAAGATCGACATGCCTATGTTAATGCCATCGGTAAGTCGTTATTTTTCTATAAATATTATACGTTTGTCTATAATTTTCATATTTATTTTCTTTAATTCGATAGAAATGTCTCGAAGACGTGTCATTTTTCCGTGGACCTCGGTTTTTGACTTTCTCATGCGGTCGATTGGTAACCTACTTTAGAATTTCGTTACGCGTTATAGTGCCATTTCAAAAGGGGAATTTGCTGTGTAAATCGTGTCAGTATACGGTGACAATCATAATGTAGAATCTAGAATGTGAAACCGAATGCGAAGGAATGTCCTGCGTCCTCAGTTGTAAACAAACACGCGAATCGTACGTTGAGCCGCAACGCGTCCACGTGCAAAACACGTTGCGTTTCGTACGCTGATAGACATGCCCTTTACCTATACATATATACATATATACATATGTGATCGCGCCCTCTGAAATTACTCTTAACCCTTTACTGGTTATGTTAAGAATATTAAACGATGATAAAGAAGAAATTCTTATTAAATTCATCTGAAGATTATCTTTGTTTCGAATGTCACAAAAATGTGAGGTTCTATTTATAGATCTGTTACAAAATTATTGAAATTAAATTAATTGATTGCATTGATGAATCGAAATATTAATTTTTTTAGATGAAAATATAAATATTTGTAGTGTTAAACAAAGGTATAAAGAAACTTTTGTTCGATTTATCTTAACGTTATCTCTATTTTAAACGTCATAAAAATATTTGATTTACGGCAAAATTAAATAAGGATTTGGGAATTTGAGAATTTAGGGATTTGGATATTATTCTTACGTCATTATTAACCATATTGAACGAAATTTTATAATTTATCAATTTCTTATAGAACTACTGAACCAGACATGTTATTAATTAAAATATAAATATTTGTATACTTTATACAGATCGTGTAAATTATTATAAATTTGTATTGCAATAATTATACATTTACCTTTGCAATTAATTCGCTTATTTAATTTGAACATAATACATTCCCAAGTTGAAATTTCATGAAATTCAGGCTTCATCTATTTCTGCTGAGACATATATATGTATATACATCCTTCTGTCATACATCCGTCAACTTTCGTAAGAACAATCGATATCGGTGCAAACCACCATCGATTCGACGTGTCAAAGGGTTGCAAATCGTAAGACATTCTCGAAAATGTAACGTTCGAACGAACGTACTATGAAATGGCAGTTGTTTTTGTAGATTACAGATTTGCTTAGGTTTCCGTACGCCTTTGAACTTGACAGCGTTGAATTCCACGAAGTTTGGAATTCCTGTCGAACTCTAGAATGCCGTGATATCTTCCGTCGATCCTGTAACATTTTTTTTCTGAATTCCACGAACGCGAACTGGGAGTGGCGTCCTTCAGCTCCTGTTTTCGTTGTTCTGTACCGAAAGCTCGAAGCATAGTCCGCTGGTATCGTTCACCGCGATGAGTTCAGGAAATCTACTGGTAGGTGATACGCATTAAATTTCACTATTTTCGATCACAATTAAAAACGCCATCGACGTCCACGAATCGTTCGTATTACCGATACGTATATTTGTAGAGCGTTTTACATTTCATCATGCTTACCGGAAATTGCGTAAGAGGATGTAACGAACAACGTGCTTAGGTCAAATAAATTATTAGTTTAGTAATTTTCGTGTAAAACGAATTGAAATTGTTTGAAGAATGAAGAAAGTCGATACATTTTATTTTTTCAATATCTGTATATGTAATACAATTTATATTTGTATCAAATATTTTGTGTAAGCGTCGTTACTTTCTATAGCGTCTGTTTACATACGTTACAACTTCAATAACAGTAACAGGCCGCAATCTTTCGTTTGCAAACAGAAGGTGGATTAGAAATGGTGACTATCACATTTTGTTATATTATAGTTGTAAAGTTATACATAAGTTATTATTGGGAATTATGTAAATATGTATCAGATCATATGGAAGCGTACAGTGTTACGAAATCTCTAATCGAAATGCAGAATCGACTTGATAGTAAATACGGTATTAGGCAAAACTGCGTTTTGACACCCTCTTCGTCTTTGAAGAGGCACTTTTGTGAGTAAGCGCGGGGAGGATGGAATAATCAAATTTTCAAATTCCTGAATTTTCAAATCTTTCTGTAAGACTTATCGACTATGCTTTGGGCTTTTTATTCCAATAATAAGAAATAGTAAATTTTCTTTTATTACGACGTCTTTCAAAATGGCGTCGCAAGCTACGACTGTACAAGTCCTTCGTCGAAATAAATGCGTACGTTAACGGTGAATGTTGTTTCTCGTCTAATTGCAGCTAGATTTAAACTATGATGTCGATGGAGTGAAAATACCGGACGTGCCTGACCGAAATAATGAATCGTCGCACGGTTTGCAACTGCAAACTTCACGCGACGCAGACCACACGCAGTTGCAGCAACGCGACCATCTACAACTGATGCAACTGCAGTTGCCACAACGGGACCACGTGTCCCCCCAGCAGCTGCAACAACGGGACAACAGGGACCAGTTGCAGTATCAGCAACGAGATAGGGAGCAATTGCATCGCGACAAGTTGCAACAGCAACGTGACCGCGAAAGGGAGCACCTGCATCAATTGCAGTCGATGAATAACTTGTTACTGGACTTACCGACATCGGCTAACTTGCAAGGATACTCCCACGATAAGTCGTGCACCCAACCCAAAAAAGGAAACAATATCGATGGTATTAAGCTTGTTTTTTACACTTATTGTTGTTGTTATTTGTATGCTTGCTTCTTTTTTTACATTTTCTTTCTTTTTAGATTCCGTTAATGATGTATGACTGTTGAATGGAATTAATTACACTAATCGTTGGATTCATAATTCTTTTTATTTTATCAACGGGATTATTTATTGAGTATTAATGTGCAATTTTGATGGAGGGTATAGTTTATTTTTAATTCATAACTAGTACAGTACGATTAAAGCCTTAACGTCAAGGTCATTGCGGGGTCAAGTAGATAAAAGCACATGCTCCTTGAATGGAACAATTTTTGCATTTTTCATATTTTTTAAGATATTTGAATGCTTGTATGTACTTGGTATTGAGCGTGAGTTAACGCGAAAGTCATAAATCTTGCTGCTATTTTCTTTTCGAGTACAATTTCGCATTTGTTCGTTGAAAAGTGATTCTAATAAAAAGCTTCATCAAATTCATATTGTACCGCGATCGCATAACAGCATCAATGATGAATTTCCGTTCTACATAATTTTATATCGCGCATTTACATTGTAGCTATCGATTAAATTATTTACAGTGTTCAAATTTCAATTACGTTACGGTTTAATTTATGAAAATTTACTGTCGTTAACGTTGTATTATACATAAACAACGCGATGTAAATCGCTATAGTGTAATCGAATTAATTAAAACTGTATTGTTCTAATTGTCTGTTTGGTTGTTTTAAAATTAACAACCCATGTATCCGTTCGTCTTTTGTTAATCGATAGTCCTCGCGGCGCCTTGTTTATTTATATTTTCGTGCCATTTTAAATAGTAACATATTTTTTCGTTTGCTCCATGCCAGGAGATATGTCGATCTCGGATTTATTCGGATTGGGGTTGCCTCGGGGCTCATTGATGAACAGTCAGTCAACGGCTACATCTCCCGGCTGCTATAATTATCAGTATCAGGCTCGCAATCAGGGGTCCTCTCAGCATTATCAGGTGATGTCTCCTTTTATTTTATATATTATGCATAAGCTTTTCCGCGGCCGCTTTACACGGAACATTTCAGTCTCATTTAGGTCAAGCAACTTCGTTATTCACGTCGTGCTTCCTAGAACTAGTTCCCTTAATTTATCCTTGCTGTAATTTGTTACGGTTCCGTTGAATGCAACTAACGGCGCTTGTTATTTGCCATCGTAGGATCATTTTAATGAAACAACATTCTCTCTTAACGCATTTATCGTTGCACAAAGTTTTGTCTCATGATCGAGTACCCCGAGAATTCGATTGCTGTTTACCTACTTATTTTTAAAAAAAAATCCTATTTTTTGCTGCCTCCGAGTACTTTATTATATTCTCCAAGTTGTAATTTATGACAAACGGGATTTCGTATTATGATAAGCCGGCAACCTTGCTTGACACCGCTCTTGGAACGGGTTCAAAATAATGTTACAAAATAAGAGATAAAAAGAGAAGAAGCGCGATTACAAGTTCACAGGAAAGTTGAGGCCAAAGGGTGGTAACGGAGAGGGCTATGATAGAGCCGTTTGGCTCAAGCTTGTAAATTCTTGGCTATCCTGGAATCCGGGTCGCGCTAACGCGCTCAACTATGTGTAATTTATTTTACCACACGCATTATAAGTCAAGTCTAATACACGCATCTCGATGTCCTGTCGGTCCTTTATGTACCGATGCATTCAGCAAATGGTGAAGGTAATAACGTTAAAGGCGTCGAGAAGAGCCTGATAAAATGTCCATTAAAGCGTCTGGTCGATGAGGCACGACTTTCGTACTGTTACTCTCTTACTTTTGCCATGAAACAGCATTATTTGTGACCGAGATATCATCGGTTATCATTCAGCTATTCGCGATTATTATTACAATCATTCTGGTATTTACAATAATTAACTGTGTAACATTTTAACAGATTACATCTGATGACAAATATTTTATGAAGGATACATTAATTTATATAACATCTTGATTGTTATAGTAGAAATAAAAATGTTATACCGTATACAATCCTATTTTTTATATTTTATCTTTCATAAACAATTTAGACCGGTTTCTCATTGTTACATTAATTAACTGGATTAAATTCATCTACTGGTTAGTTGTGATAGCCCCGCGACAGTCAGCGTGTCAACGATTCGCATTGAAGCATCGGTTGAAGATGAAAGATTTCGCGAAAGGAACCAACTTCGATTCTTATCGTTGTTATCACCGTCTGTTATCGTGGCTGCTGCTATCGTAAATTGATGTTAGGGATCGGACGTAACGAATATATTGAAAATCGATACATCAGGTAACTGGGAGCGTTCTTATTGTGCGCAAAAAAATTAGCCGCGACGGATGGAAAAGGAAGTTCGAGAAGCAGTTGGAGTCATTCCAATGAGGATAATCATTGTTCCGGTTATTGCATTGGCAGCAGCCAGACGTTTCAGAATACTGCCTACTTCGTCGTTTCGAATTTCCACTATCGGCAACACACTTGCAAATTAAAAATAATATTTTGTTAGTATTATATTAGTTAAACACACTCTTCATACTCTATCGCGAATTAAATTTTGATATTAGAGATTGAATATCATTACAGAAATAGATGTTTAATAAATGAATGTATTTTTGACAGCAATGTGACGATAGAAACGGAGTATGCTCGAATTCGTTGATGCTGGACGTTCCAAGCTCACCTAGTTCCATCAGTACACCTGGCAGTCCTAGCACGCCCGAAAGTCTGTACTCCAATCCGTATTCATACTCTTCTATGAACAGTAGTAATCAGGCGGCATCATCGCCAGCTAGCCGAGGATCTATGCAGCAGATCGGTTCTCCGTCATCCCCTCTTCATTCTCCCTACTATGGAAGATCTATTCGTGGCTCACCCCCTTATAGGTACATTCTTTTTTGATTTCATGTTATCACTTTTCCCTGTAATAAGAGAAAGATTAATGTGCGATGCAATTTTTTAACGCTAGCGACTGTAGCAGTCCTACGTTCGAGTATTCGCATATGATGGGATGCAACAGTTCGAGATCTAACTCACCGGCAGATTCCGAAACGAGCGGAATAAGTAGCATGGATGGTTCTTTATCCGACATAATGGTAAGCTTTTGATAATCGTATAAAATGTTATAATAAATTATTACATGTTCTAAATGTTTTTAGAATTGTTTATCGTTAAATACGTCGTCGAATGGATGTTACCCTCAGTCTCTGAGCTCGTTGATATCACCGGAAGTGGATTTATGTACGAACAACAGGGCAGCCGCGTTACAACGAATGGTGGTGAAAAAGTACTTGTCTCCATCTCATCAAAATTCATCATCGACCCATCATCACCATTCACACGGACACAATCGTGGTCATCACTATGGCTCGAATCAAAATAATGGTTTCCTCAATTCCCTGTTGTCGCATGAGAAAAATTGTTGCTCTGCCAATAACCATGTGATGCAATCCAATTCACCTCCGATTAATATTTTAAATCCACAACTCTCTCTGGAACGTGTAGCTCGATTTCATCGAAGTGCCGCTGGTATGTAATGATTTGGTGGTCAATGAAAAATAATGTATTAATAATATGAAAATGCTTTAGCGCTTTGCGATCCAACTTGTACTTGGAGCGGTATATTACCACAACGTACTCAGAAACCGTCGGGTTACTCGTCCAAAGTATTCCTTGGTGGCGTACCTTGGGACATTACCGAATCCCTTTTAATTGCCACTTTCAAGCAATTTGGTCAAATACGAGTGGAATGGCCGGGAAAAGACCAATCCGCTGCTCAACCCAAAGGATATGTATATATCATTTTTGAGTCTGAAAAACAGGTACATAGATCTCATATTCTATTCCTTTGCTTGATTATTCTCCTTTTACAAGATTTTTTACATCTTTTTAAGGTGAAAACTTTATTGGCATGTTGCACACACGATTTTACCAATGGTGGTAGTTGGTATTATAAAATATCGTCTAAACGTATGAAAGCAAAAGAGGTAAGAGATACATCATTTTATTCGTTTAGAATATAAATCAGCTTTATGCAATAATTGTTTTAAATAGGTTCAGGTAATACCATGGATTCTAGAAGATAGTAATTACGTGAAATCTTCTTCGCAAAAACTTGATCCTCACAAAACAGTATTTGTTGGCGCTCTTCATGGTATGTTAACAGCTAGTGGTTTAGCAAAAATTATGGATGATCTGTTCCGTGGGGTTATTTATGCAGGTAAAAAATTAAAATCGTGTTCATAAATATACCTGGGTAGATAAGTAGTAACAAATTAAAACTTCATTTCAGGAATTGATACTGATAAACATAAGTATCCGATAGGATCCGGTCGTGTTACGTTTAGTACAAAACATTCGTACATGAAAGCAATTTCAGCTGCTTTCATAGAAATAAAAACTGCCAAATTTACGAAAAAGGTTAGCAGTCCGAGTTACTCGATTGTCTGCTTTTACAGGAATTAAAGATTTCCCTGATATTGTAATGATTTTCATTAACTTTATATAGGTACAAGTCGACCCGTACTTAGAAGATTCTATGTGTTCCGAGTGTTCGGTGCAACAAGGACCTTACTTCTGTCGTGAAGTGGTAAGTTACATATTGCTTTACTATTACGTTTAAACTTAGAAATAAGATAATATTTAATAAATTTTATTTTGATTCTATTTCAGATTTGCTTCCGATACTTCTGTCGCAGTTGCTGGCAGTGGCAACATTCTATGGAATCAATGTGGCACCACAAACCTTTAATGCGTAATTCAAAAACAAACAAAGTAGTTGGATTATCACCGAATATGAACTCTGGATCCCGTGGAATGAATAACTCCACGATTTAAGTACAATCATCTAGCTTTCCTTTCATGATCATTCGTTCACTTTTTTTTGACTATTAGTTTTCACACGGACGTTGCGCTAGCTGACTTACTGACAAGGGTGCAAACTTAGTTTTTATCCTAGAGCTACGAACTGCTGGTTTGACGATATACAAACAAATACCGTATACACCAGCTGATCGGCGAATGCAACGATTTCTTTATTATCGTTATTATCACGTGCGTCCGTGGTATAGAGACTAATTAAAAGATAAAAAATCGTGTTTCCTGAAAAAGTTCCTATTTCGAACGCGGCAACTACCACGTTCAACAAACAGTATTTTTATTTACTATGTTTACTTAGGGGACTGGCTCTCTTGTTGATCGTTTTATTACGAAAAGTATACAATTGTGCCATTAACTAACATGTCACATTATGCGGCAATTATGCGTAACGATGTGTGCGTTTACCATTGAACTCCTGCGAGTTCAATTGTGGCTTTTATAGTGAAAATAATTTTTATGCGATAATAAAAAAGAGAAGCCACTCGACTGCTAAGGAAGGAAAAGAAAGAAAGAAAGGCTAAGTTTGTGATCTTCGATGATCCGTGAAATACAACGCGCCGCTGTAATAATCTAACGGCGAAATATTACGCTTAAACCGTAAATGATTCGATGAGATTAGATTATTGTATTGTTCTAGCGGCAGGAGGGATTAATAACTTGATTATTATTTTTTGCGAAGAACGTATTTAATTTGATATAACCAAAGCGATGACTTTCTATTGAAGTACTGTCTGAAACAATCCGTTCTTCTGTTTCAACGTTTATTGATGATATTGCCTCATCTTTATAGTTTTACGTTAGATTGTACAGTGTAAGGGTATCGCCATAAATGGGCACTGTAAATCATAATTTATCACCTTAGTAAAAAGTGCTAAGCGTTCGCGAGCTTTCGTTTACAGGGACTGTTTAACTGTTGACGAAATGGAAAAGTACATGGTCTACGATTCTGGAGCGGATTGTAGTGAATTGATTCTGTTTTTATTTTTTGTTACGATATTATGTTACGTATTTTCTTTCAACAACATTTCGTAGTATTCTAATCGTGTTTCTGATGTTTTGATATCATTTTCTTGAGTGAATTAAAAATCATATTTTTGCAGATAGACGTTCATTGTCGTTCTTCTTTTTTTTTTTGTTTCATGATTGTTTTTCTTTTAATCGTTAAACAAACTGATTTCTCCAGGCGAACCTTCTGCCCTTCCCAATCTCCTCATCTTAAAAGTGTGCTAAATATTAAATGTTATTACTCGATTGCAAATGTTTATGCATATATGATGCACTGAAGCCTGCAAAGTATTGTTTGCAGACTTTGAGATATCATAAATGTATAATCATTTGTAGTTCAGTTATTACATTATAAGAATTTGATGAATACGTAATACTAAAAACATAACGTAAGATAGGAATTACTTAACAGCAAAAATTGTATTCGTCATTAACATTCATTTCTTTTTATTTACAGACCGACTTAAATCGTGATATTTTAATTAGATTAAAAATCGTACAGTTAATTGTGTGTAATACGCACAATATTTAGTCACATTATTCGTTTCACTACAGATAATTATAAATCATTACTTTATACGTTACTACTGGTGGATGTTCCGAAAAAGAAGATATATAAAATTAAGATTTAAAATTGAGAATGCATATAATCAACAAGTTACTCTAATATGTTATCGGTTGTATTTAACAAGTGTTAAAGAAAGGGAAGAGTTAATCATGTTTCCAAATCATTGAAATTTTGCTTGATTTAAAAATGTGGAACAAATACAAAAAATATATCGTGTTACAACATCAAATATAATTAACAAATAACATGATTGCTATATATATAGGGAGATACTCATATGAAGTGCTTTAATACAACATACAAAATATATATATATATATTCTACAGAAGCTTTGAACGTATCCATAAAGTTTTTAGTTTAAAAAACCCGGTTTACTATGCCTAAGAATAATTCTAAACCGACGAATGATAAAAACTCTTAGGCTAAAATCTAATGAATTGACGGCCAAAGAACGATGAGCCGTTGGAAATTTTAAAGATGCTCTTTTATCGAAAATATCTTATTTACAAACTTTTAATAAGTCGTGCCTTTTAATGTAATCTCCATAGATTTTATTCTAATGTGGAAAACACAAATTATTTTTAAATCATTGATAACCACGCGATATAGGGTGTGATCTATTATTAAAAAAAAAAGAGAAACAAAACTGCTACTGGTACGCATGATGTCAAACTTTCTTAAAACTTTTAAGAGACTTAATCACGTGTGAGGCAATGACTACACAACGCCCTAGATAGCAAAATACTTTCTTTTTTATGTTCGTATGAAAAGTGCCTCCTGTTCTTTCACTTTTATTAATAATACAACCTACGTCTATTATTTATAAGTAACATGATTCGAATATACATTTAAAACTGATTCGAATATTAATAACAATATATAAGTATACACGTTAGCATAAAGTCAAATAAGCTTTGTCCAAGTATTAATAATTTATATTGCTCTAGCTTTTTTCCTATTACATGTATCCTTGTTAAAGCATACCTTGTAACACAAAACTAATATATTGAAAACAATAAATTGTTCTTTATTATGTTAACATTACATTATTTTACGATTTATGAAATTATACCTCATATTGTATGAAAGGATTAATTCATTAAAATTACTTTCTTTTCTTGATTTTATTTATTATATATTGTTGTTCGAATTATAAAAAGCTTCTTTTAATAGAAATAAAAACGCATTTACAATCAAGATTCTCACTCCCATGTAGTATCTAATACTGCTAGATATAATTTTTTACATTAAATATCAAGAATACCTTTTATTTGCTGATCGTTTGTTTAATGCCTGATACAAACCAATCAAGGAAGACAATGTTCCAAGTGCTCCTACTTGCCAAGCTTTTAACCTACCACCCCAAAGTACACCAGGTGGTAAATAACTAACTGCATAACTTATATCCAATACCAATCTTGTGGTAGTCAATAGTTCATTCCGCCATTGCTTACTTATTGCTTTTAAAGCTATTCTGTTAACAAAAATGATTAGTAATCACCTGACTTATGAATTATTATTAACTATTATTTACTGCACTTACCTTGTATCATAAGTAGTTTCACAGAGATGTGTTTTATAATTATTGAACTTTTTCAATTTTTGGAGAGACCTATAAGCAATTGCAGCAAATAAGAGATTGTAGTTAAGTGCTAATAGACATAAGTACTTGAATGTCTTCTTTTAACATACTTCAGTAATGACAAATGTAGAGAAATTATCCAAAACCATGTTGAAGTATTGTCCCATGCTTCAATATTAATTTTGACTAATTTCTTTGTACCAGCCCAGGTAATGTGTTCTATTGGACAAAATATAATATTCACTGCAATCTGTATCAGTTCTGCCCATCTGATCAACCAATCTGGCTCCTATTATATGACATATGAAATTTATATGCCTGTAGAAAAATAGTATAAATCTGCACATCATATTAATACATAGAAACTGATTTGTATAATTTACATGAAATATTCTTCATTATTACTGTCCCTTTATTTATCATATGTACCTCTTTACCCCAACCATATGACATGGCGTAATGAATCATTGGTATGTCATCTAATAATCTTAAAATCACTCTACATTCACTCATTTGACTACCAAATATTTTTAACTTATTTTCCATCTCCTTGGAAGATGCACCCAGCGTAGCCAATTTTGCCATATAAGATAATGTTCTTAAAAATTTATCTCTTCCTTCATAAGTTTCCAAATATTCTGATACCAAAGCAAAATTCATTTTGGTTTAGAAATATCTTCAAATATATTCTGATAAGGAATTACCTATAAATTAAGTTATAAATATTATCAGATATTTAGAAACATTAGTTACATAATATAAAAAATAAATCAGTATTAATAATTTATTCCTGACAGTTGAATGAACACTTAAAGCAATAGTTCACATTTGTTAAAATTCCAAGATCTGTTTTTAAAAATGATACATTTAGTACACAATGTATTGTCTTACCAATTATGTATTCACGTAAAGTATTACGTACTTGTTATATTGTTGAGAACATAAACAAAATAAGCAACATATGTTGTATTCAAAAACGCAAGTTGAAGCGAAGAAAGTAATTTTCTTGTATGCAACTAATCACTAACGTAAAACATGTATGATTTATATGAACTTCACCTTTTACATAAGTATTTCGAAAGTATGAATTTTTAAATATTTATAAACATGTTTAAAGTACAAGTTATAATGAATCTTCATTTTTCATTTTATGATGCACTCTAGTGGTTGCATGCTGAAAATCAAATTAAAATCTGCCGGCAAAGAAGAAATTGAATAATAAATGTATCGTAAAATGAATAGAATTGCAATGTACATAATATATTAAAAAATATGTAAGCTTTCTGTTGCCTATAATGCAAAATTATAGGAAAAATGAAATTACAATATCAAATGGATATCATACATGTTATACAGTGAGCTTCACTGGATTCCCTATTATCTATTCCATTTCAAAAGTGGACAAAATATACAAATAGTGAAAGAAGACATAGACGACTCATGACCATAGAAGACTCATGACCAAATTAAAAAATTTAGAATATTAAGAATGTGAGGACTTGAACTTTTCTTAAAAATTTGGATCATGAGTTTGTAAGAACACATGCGCATTTCTTATGATATACTGCGTGTTAAACCAATCAGAACAGACATGCGCAGAATGAACAAAAATTCGTCAAATATTGAGCATGATCCCTGTTAAACAAAAAATGAGGAACGTAATCACACTGAATTTGTAAATTGCTCCCTAAGCGACATCTGTCATCTTCATAATTAAACAGGAGTAATAGAAATAATTCATACATACAATTTCTTCGAAAAGTTTTTCATTTTGATTACACAATTATTTCAAATCAATTCGTACGTTTACTAGATGATATATAATTTGTAATGAAATAAGGTTTGAGATTTCCTTTCTATGTACATTGTAACTCCGTGACGAAGCATGCGGCGTGAGGGAAGCATCTTTTCAAAGCGTCGTATTCGTTCACTGTTGTGTGTCGCTTTAGAGCAACGTGATCAGTGGTTTGTAGACGTGATGACGTCAGACTTCGAGGCACAAGCCGAGAGCGCGTTTAAAGCCGAGTAGGGCGTGAAAGTGTGTGTCGTGCCGCTCGTTTTCCTCCTAGTTCTTTTAATCTATTCCATCCACGAATATGTGCAAATAGCAGCGTGTGCCTCCGTAAAGTTACGGGACAATTATGTTCGGTGCTGTTTTAATGTGATTGATAGTGAAAAGGATACCATGTTCCGCTGCATTCCGATTTTTAAAGGGTGTAACAGGCAGGTGGAATACGTTGACAAGCGTCATTGCTCTCTGGTGAGCGTCCCCGATGATATTTTACGATATTCGAGAAGCTTGGAGGAACTTCTGTTGGACGCGAATCACATCAGTGATCTACCGAAGGTAGGCAAATACCGCTACATGCCAGCTTTCTGTCTTACAACCGTATCTCTTTTTTCTTTCTTTACCTCTCCCCTCTTCTCATTTGTCTCCCTCTCGCTCTCTCTCTCTTCTTTCTATTGTGTCCATGACGTATCATTCCATCGGCTATAATGTAACAACGAAGAACACGCTCGACGTAGTTGATGGGGTTGCTTACCGTTATCATTGTTTAACAAAGAACATAACAATATTTTTTTGTATCCCTTATAGAATTTCTTCCGGTTACAAAGGCTACGAAAACTCGGCTTGAGTGACAATGACATTCATCGCTTGCCACCAGATATTCAGAACTTCGAAAACCTCGTGGAGTTGGATGTATCCAGGAATGGTGAGTGACGTGGTTTTTTTTATTATTCTCTTTAAGTTTTGCGGTTTCTGCGGCCGGCAAACTCGCTAAGGGAAAGACTCGGCCCCGTTTCGTTTCGTCGTTTCATTAGACGAGAATATTTCGTGGACGTTTTTCCTCTTCGTCTTCCGGTTATCTTTCTTTTTCATGCATAGCTGGCCAATACAACAGCGCCTGTCGACGGCTTCGAACGAAGCACGTGTACTTGCGTTTCGGACGGTGTCAGTAAGAAAGCCAAATGTAATAAATGTTCGCACAAAAGGCGTTAAATAAAGAAAGACTAGAGTCAAAAGAGGCAGACTGTTAACGGAACCTTACTGTACGCACGTTCAACTTGGATAAACCGAGAACACAGGCATACTAATGTCAAGTATTAATAAAAGATGCTACTTTCTTGTGGACAGGTTACCGTTACCGCTATTCTTTTTTTCATCTTTACTATCGGTTATAGTAACCGATGCATCTAGCGTGATCTAACAGGTTGACGTATAGTTTCGATCGATTCAAGGGTCCATCAAAAGTTCAAAATAAATTTCATATCATCTCAACGATTGTTGCGATATAATGCGAGACTACCACGTGTTAATGCCAAACAATATAATAAATGATAACGTGACGTATGACGCAATACAAAGCTGTGTAACACATGGTGATATAACACGAGATTACAACAGGTGGTAATATGGCGAGAAATTGCAACGAATGATAATATCACGTAAAACAATGCAATCCATGGTGATATTGTGCAAACCAGTTGCAGTATCGATTCGACTCGTTTGAATTTATCGATTTATACGTAAAATTCAGTTTTTGTCTATATGTAGTGTTCTCAAATTTAATGGCAGACTCGAAGAGACGAAAACATATCTAACAAGCGGTGTCTCGTTTACTTTCTAACGACGATGCAGTGGCTCGTTGCTCGAAAGGCACGTTGAAACGTTCTTACTCCCGCCTCGAAGTTGTTTCCCAAGAGGGAAGCCTTTCCTTTCTCGCTGTTCGCTGGATTTACTTACCGTTCCACTTTGGCGTTTTTATGTTTACTTTATGCTCGTCCCTCGCCACCCGCGTACACATAGAACTTCGTTACTTCACGTACAATATGGCTAAGGAAAAGGAATGCATCGTAGAGTCGCGGATGTCTCGTTTTGCCATGAGTCCTCCCCCCTCTCCGTGCACACTTTGCCCTTCGTTCCCCTGGAATGCTCCTTGTCGTTAAATACCTCGGCAACACTTGTAACTAATATTAGGTGCGCTTCGTCGAACATCTTTTAACGTAATAAAATGGCTGACGCAGGAAAACAGATTTTGACGTACACTCCTACGACGTAGCGTACATAATTAAATTACACTAAAATGTATATTTTAGAAAGTTCCCTGTTGATCAGTTAACGATTAATTACGTCCTCGTAAACGTAAAGTAAATCGTGAATGAAAGATTATAAACGAATGACGTTTTCTCTGACATTATCCAGAAAGGTGGCGACGAAAGTGCGTACTATAAATAATTCCCGACGTAATTATTACTTCCTGATGCGCGATTGCTCTCGTTATCAATAGAAGCGCCGCTCGCATTCTTTCGTGTACGCGAGCGTGATACATGCCCGTCTAGTAATTTAAACCTGTGTGTATATGTATGTGTGTGCGTATATAGTACGATCACGGGTATCTGCATTTTATCCGTAGCGTTCAGCCGTCGCGTAAAATAAAATTTTTCATTCAGCACGCAGGGCAGAACGCATCTCGTCTCGATGATAGTAGCTCATTCACTGTAGTGAACCTTTTGCTATCGAATGCGCTTATGTATGTTATGTACCTCGCTGAATACTTGCAGTTAGACGGTTTTCGTTTACCGTAAACCATTTAGCCGCGTAACTGCGCATCAATAGCAATTGCTAAAGCATGGATGCTTATAGGCAATACCGTCGTTAGTGCTGAGCAAACTGGGCATTTGCCCTGGGGGGCGGGGCACTAATCCGTTACAGCTTGATGGGACAGCGGTAGTTTTTGTACACAAATTAAGGGAATGTTCACGGCAGAAATTGATATATTTGTATTACTGGAATATTCGCATTTTGTTTCCATTTCTGTTATGAAACCGAGTCCGGTATTTTTACCCCAACCAACCAACAGACGTAAATGAAGGGATTTGAAATAATAAAATCTCGCGTGAAAAAACGCACCGCGACGTGGGAACACGTTTAACGAGTCGGATCGAGTCAATGGCTTTCATTTTCAACCGAAACGATGAAATAATAAGAGAAAAAAATGTCGAACAATGCCGAAGTGTATAATAAACCGCGGCGGCATTGTACACCGGCTGAAAATGAATTCTTTTGTTCGCGATGAAAGTCGACGGCCTGAGTTTCAGCCAAGTTAAACGCTCGACCGCTTTTGCCACGCGGTCGACGTGCGATTTTCGAAAAACGGAACCGCCCGATACTACTATACCAACGTTGACCGCTGATCTGTGCCTTGTTTCGTTCTTTTTTTCGGATTGAATCGATGAAAGTTTCATCGCTGCCTTTGTAACGTGGCTAAATCACTCTACCGTGAACCGTTCCTATCTATTCACTGTTACTTCTTTCAAAAGCGCAACACTGTTTCTTTTTCGTCGATGTTGCTAGACAAAAATGTGTACCGCTTCAACATTTTCAAAGACTCTACTTGTATTTGTAATATATCTATTCATAGTATGTGCATGTTGTTAACATAAATTACAATGTTCGTAATATTAGTTCCGGTAATAAGAGTATTATAGGAACTTGCGTTATACTGACATTCGCATCTAACACTATTGCAAGCTTGGGATCTAGGGTCCAAAATTTGGTTCCTAGGGATATTGCGATTTTGGGGTATCAAGTTCTAGAGATATTATGGTCTTGGGATCTAGGTATATTTGGGACTTGAAATCTAGGGATATTCGGTACTGGGGATCTAGGGATATTTGGGGTATAGAGATAGTTAGGGTCTAGGTATGTTTGGGGTCTAGGGATTTAGGGATTTTTTTGGATCTAGGAATATTTAGGGTCTAAGGATTTTTGGGATCTAGGGATATTTAGGGTCTAGGAATTTTGGAAATCTAAGAATATTTAGGGTCTAGGGATATTTCGGACTTAGGACCTGGGAATATTTTTGGGGACTTTAAATGTGGGGATACAGGGTATTTGGTATGTAGGGACATTGGACGTTGAATCTAGGGATATTATGATCTGGGGACATCTGTCCCAAGGATACTGAAAATATAAAAATATTCGTATCTGGGCTTAGGAATTTTGAGAATTTGAAATTTAGAGATATTAGAATCTTAGACACATGTTTCGCTGGTATAAAGCGCATAAAAGAGGAATGGAAGATATTATTTGAAATTAACCGCGCAATTTCAACAATATCTTCTATTTATTGCATTGATAAAAGTCGTGGATCGTTCAAGGTTTCTTATTCGACTCTGGCTAGCTTCCAATATCAAAGAAAACGTTTCGAACGTCTTCCTTCAACGAGGAAATAAACTTTATAGCGTTGTATAGCGTTCGTAAAACTTTTGCAACGTTTCGAATCGCTCGACAACTGTCTGCAGCATAATTCTGTAATCTTAAGCGAGAGGAGTATCTTGCTTAAGAATCTTCAAAGGAATTCGTTAAGTGAACGAGCCTCTCATTCTAAGGAAGTCCTCGATGTTTCGTAAATTCATCAGCAGAGAGAAGAGAGCACGTTGTTAACGGTCCGGATATCATTCCCTAGGGACATTTCTTGCAGTTGTATCACTTTCTTTTTTTAATCGCTAACCAACCTCCTGTCTAGATTCGAATCTAATCGAGTTGATCAAAAACAACTCGCTTTTTCTGTCGAGGAGCTTTCATTTCCCAATGGAGAAACTAAGAAACCAACCATGATCGAGGTGACTTCTTCTCCCTGTCACGATAGAATCGGTTTATCCTTCTGGATCGGTTCCTCCTTCATGGACGATCGATGCCGCTGTTTCTCTTTCAGGCTCGAGAGGATTGCATTATCGCGCGGATCGATCTATGAAGAATAAAGAAAACTTCTCCTAACAGACGTTTAACTATTCCTTTATTCGCCGGTCTCTAGACCTTTATCAAACTTTAATACGGTTATCTATTCAGGAACCATCCTTTATTGTTCGAAGGGGGCGGATGTACAATGGTGTTGCAGGAGACAGAATAGGCCATAACAAGTTTAGGATACCACGTTGAACTTCGCTAATTTGATAATTTGGGTGTGACAAAGTGGCTTGTATCGTGGTTCACGGTTGAAGTGTACCAATTTATGGGATTTGGTGGTCTTCAGGCTAGTTTACATTGATACACAGTATAACAGTACAGGTATACATTCTCTAATATCCCACGTTTGTTAGCTTTGGGCTTATGTTACATTACCGCCATACAAGATAGAGTATATTAATGTAAGTACTTTAATATTCTATTATTGCTACCTTTAAGCTTGTATTACGCTAGTCAAGCGAATGGTGGAGTGTACCGGAGTTAGTAATTAGCCTACTTACACCGGCGAGCATGGTAGGCTTCTCTGGGGAAAATGGTGATGTACGGAAAAGTCTTCCATTCGTTCATTTTTTGGTCACTACATTTTCAAACGTAGTTTAAAAATTTGAAAATTTACCGAATTGTGGATTCGAAAATTTAGAAATTAACATCGCTAAGTTTCGCTTTGACTACCACACACGAGCTTTTAAAATGTTGGACACCTGAATGAGCGATAAACATGTTTGGGTAGCTGATCCTCTAGTTATTTTGAGCAGCATATAGAACTATCGATTGTACGCGACACTTTATGGCCTTACCTTCGCCCCTTCTTTATTTTATTTGAATACCGAACACGTCTCAAAAAAAGCACCACTTTTATTCAATGTTTGTGACCATCATCATTAATTGTTCAAATATGAACGCAGGCGATCGTAAAACACTTTCTAACGCGTATCTCCATCCTCGAGCTATTTGCGTGCATTC